CTCTGGCTATCTAAGGCCTCATGACAAATCTTGAATTTATTACAACCATTCGGAATTTAAATACTTCTTAGAAAATAAGTCCTTTATCTCAAGTTGGTGTCATATGCAAGTTTACATGTCCAACTTATTCACTATGTCATGAGCCACCCCCAGCATGGCTCCTCAGGAAAACCCTATGGAGGATGGCGCTATTTTTGCTAGACTGGGCCTCCTCTGACTCCTGGTGAGCAATTTAACTGTTGTAGAGCTCAGCAGAGCATATACCACTGGTATATGCTGCACTGGTAGAGTGGCATAAAATTATGTTTTGTAAAGGTCAAGGTGAAGTGACTTACAGGTTTGCTCCCTTTGTCAAACTTTTTCCTTGGGGAAATAGTTTATTCTGACTAGTCATCCTATTTGAAGTCATGGCTGGCTATGCATCAGTGGCCTCTGAGTTTGAGACAAACTGATTTTGTGGTAATACACTCATTTTAGGAATAATATATGGTAAAGCCCAGGACTCACATGTTCCCTCTTAAACACATGTGATACACAGGATCCTTTTCAATACCCAGAAATGACTAGTATTCTCCATGTATCTATAAACACGACAAAGATATGCTCAACAAAGAATTCCATAAATTTTTAAAATGCTGCAGTTATGTTGGAAATCATGTCCAGAATTTACTCCCAAAGCACAGGTGTGGACACCCATGTTTTCTCATTATGCTCTGGCAGGAAGATTGCACCTCCCCTCCAACAGCCAGCACTGCTCACCTGAACACTGTCAAATCCGCCCACAAGAACAGTCTTCAAAGAAAGGCTTACTTTGACCAGACCAAGCCCTTCACCTTCGTAAGAGACCACTGGACCCAAGTCTAAATTTAGCAGCTCATCCGTCATCACTGGACTCTTATCCTCACTTGGCTCTGAAGAATCCTCCGCACCCTGCACGCTCCCCTCCTAAAGCTTCTACTGTGTCTTCTAGGACTCCGGCTGTCATCACCCAAATCCCTGCCGCCTTCATTTTCCTCTCCAGATGTTCCCTTCACTTTTGTGCGCTAATTGAAACCAGTCTCCTCTACTAAATTTTGTCCCAAGAAGTCCTCGTGGGTGGGGACGGCTCCCTCTCCCACATTCCATAAATCCCGGGGGTGGGATCCGTGTCTTCCTAGTTCTCACTGTCACTTTCAGATCATTCTTCTCCTCCTCTTAACAAAATAAAACCTTGTTCACACAAAACATGCCATCAGATTGTGTTGTACCTGCTCACAGTTCTTCCATTATCTGCAGAATTTCTGCTCAGCTGTTACTTCATTCCAGTGACTTCATCATCAGCCCGGGCAATCGTGCTGGCTCGGCCATCTGACCTCCACTTCTGAAGATCTTCTTTCCCACCCCTCCTCATCAAACTGTACCCAAGGTTATCTGGATGAAGTCCTCACTACCAATATCGTGTCCATTTCTGAATCCTGACTATGAATTCCTGCCCACTTCCCTAGTGCTCTCTCCATCCAATGATTTAACTCCAACACCATTCCACTGACCCTCTCGCTTATTCGCTGCTTTGGTCCTTCCTAGCACAAAGTGCTTGGTCAAACACTGTAAGTACTCTCTTGCAGATTCCTTAATCTCTGTGCTTTTCTCTTTGTATTAGATTTAGAAAAACCATGGTTTTTCATGAATTTAACCATGGTTAAATCCACCTCACCTCAACCAGGGCTAGAGAAAAGCACACAATTGTACCCTCTGTTCTCTTCAAATTCATAACCACTAACTACAGGTACTGCAGCACCAGCAGGTGACCTCGTACATCTCCCTAGTGAATTTTCTCTTTCTGAGATGCCAGTTTTACATTTCCCTCTCCCTCCTCAATTTGTCACAACTTTCCTTCCAGCTCAGTGTCAGCTGGTGACCCTGTTTATCACACCTCTGTGAAACAAAGCTTTCTTCTTCATCCTCCTGAAATTCTTTACGCCTACCCTCATCACCTTTCTCACATTAACTGGTTTCTCCCATTCTACTACATCTCTCTTTTCATCATTCAAACATTCTGTAGTATCTCCCATACTTTTTAAAAGTTCCTCTTGACACTTTAAGACAACCTATTTTTAGCTGCACTGTATCACAAAACACATTAAGGGAATTTTCCCACTTGTAGTATTTGCACGATTGTTCTACTGCTTCAGGCCCTTGAAGCATCTTTGTGTGTTTGCAGCCTTCCTAATTTGTCAGCAGGTGCTGTAGGCTTTCCCATCAAAATGGCGTGTGCCCACTGCTGTTTCCCTATGCCCCAGTCCAGTCTCCAGTGAGATTATATCTAAATAACTAAAACAGCTTTCCAATGAGCCTCTGGCTCCACTATCTTCCTCTGGTAATCCCACCACCTCCCCCTGCTGCTCCACTCCACCTAACATTGATTTTGCCATGCTCTGCTTCTCTCTGCTCATAAACTTAAAATGATTTCTGATAGCTCATATTAACAGGCTTAAGCTCCCTGCACCACACACAAGACACTTCATAACTGGGTCCATTCTGCCCCCTTATCTTTATTTCCTCTTATCTAGCAGCTTAAGACCTTACGCTTTTAGACTAGCTTCCCAAGTGTTTTAAACATAACTCATCCAAATTTCAATTACACATTTTATCCTTTGTGCCCACACTGTCTTCCTTCCTAGAATCCACACCATCAGAGTCTAAATGGTTCAGGCTCTATCTCCTCCAGGATACCTTATCATGCAGTTCCCAATCCCTATAGCATTCAGGTCTCCACTGCTATTAACAACTTAGTTATACACAGTTTTACATCTTCACTCATTCTTCATATGTATAACATACTTGCATGTAACTAGGGTTTTCTTCAAAATTTTATCTCACACAAGGGAAATCCACTAAATAGGGACAAAATCTTGAAAACTGTAAAGTGCTTTATTTTGAAAAGCAAAGTAGTATTTGTAGAAGAAACATTAATCTTAAATGACCTCACCAATCCTACTTTTGGACTCTATAGAGGGCAACTGACAGAATCATTTTTTTTTTTTAAAGGGTTAAGAGATTTAATCAGCTACAGTATTTATTCCCAAGAGATTCTCTCAAGACTGGAAGTACTGACTCTCGTAAGCAGCCTTTTTAGCATCATTTTAAAAATCAGTGCAATTAATCTGTGTGTTGTAAAAATCACACATATACCTACCTAACTAAAAATGCAATTTCCTAGTTTTATGTCAAAAGGCATTTTGTTTTTGGAACAAAACGTATTGTGGTAACTTTGAACAAATCAGCTGTCTCTCCAACATCTCAGGTAGTAGTGAAGAGGGTATGCTGGGGCAGGAAGTCAAACCATGTAGAAGGCAGCGAGACAACGGCAAGGCAGTGGTGCATCTGAACACTCGAGTAAGAGTTTGTGAAATATAAGGACACAAAAAGTAAAAATCTGAATTGGTGACCTTTATAGAATGTAGTTTTAAATGTGTCAGCAATCTATCTAAATATTTAAACAGACCCTTGACCACTTCGTCTAGCTCTCTCAAAGCTGACACACTCAGGTTGAGAGCACATCCTCTGGGGGGTGGTAGCAGGGTTGGGGGTGGGAGAGTGCCCAAAGCCCCAAGACCAAAAAGAAAGAGCTGGGAGACACATGATGTCATCTAATACACGAGGTGGTTGACAGAAGGCTCATGCGTCACTTCATGATGTTTTGGTTGGCAAGTCACATGTGATGCATGTATTTGGGGTCCCCACAGGTCCCAGGTGTGCAGCAGGCAGGACCCTATGACGCTGCCACAGCTAAAATCACCTAACAGGTCTTCATCATTAGGTGACACAGGACTGGTTGTTACATGAGTCCGCTCTAGGCTGGTCACTGTTGTGTGTGTAGAGCTCAGTTTTCCAATTTTCAAAATCAAGGACTTTGATTTTCACTAAGACTCTGCAGTCCTAAGGTTTCTGTTCTATTATTTTCTACTATATTCTTTTCAATGATTCAGCAGCACTGGTAGCTACAAAAAGAAAGGCTATTTTAAAGGCTATTGGAAATCTCTTACTCTATTACCACTGAATATGACTTAGAAACATGAGACAATTCAAGAGCCTCAGTCCAGATCTTCTGTCCTTATGAGATTGGATTTTGGAATATCTAAACTTAACCTCTAAAGTCTTCATCTTAGCATCATATTAAGAGTTAAAAGCTATATGTAAGAAAACTTCATTAGCCCTCCCCCCACCCCAAGAGGAACCTGAGCTGAAGAGATTGTTAATGCTGGTCAGGGGTGAGACTGAGGCCCATGCCCAAGCCTTTCCTTTTGCAACTCTGGTTGCCATGGCAGCAGGTTGGGGTGTGTGTGTGTGGGGGGGCGATATATATGCACTCATAATCACTGCAGTTACAAATCCCATTTTCAAGTCCGCAATCTTTTTTTGAGGTTTTATGTATCAATGTACAAAAGTTATAGGCCACATTAGTATAATGTTATTGTTACTTCAATGTCATCTCTGCCTTTATTTCAAAGGCAAAGAACCTGATAACCACCCACTCCTACGTGATTTTGCTCCATATCAAAACTAGCCTAAGCCTTCAACTGTCACTGCACCCAACTCTCCCGACTCTTCTAAAAAAAAAACACTGTTGCCAGATGAGCTGCATTTCTAATTATCAGACTCTCCTCACGGAACACCATCCAAGCGGAATCGACCTGATGACAGCAGATGCTCATCTCAAGCACAACACTTGTGAAATCATCCATTCTGCAGAGGTGACCTAGGCAAGCTGGCACCATCTACCCTGCTCATACAACCAAGCAGTACCACCCACGATCCCAGCTAACATGCGTGTGCTGCACACACACACACACACACACACACATCTCATCACATCAGAACCTGGTCAGCTTTACACATCTTATTTGAAATTATAAAAGCCCTGTGTCCCTGTAAGCTTTGCTTTTAAACAAGCTCAAATACTATGATTGCATAGAGTTACACAATGCTAAGGCTTACCACTGTGAAAAATAAGTACTTACCTTCAATTCTCTTTAACGCTGAAAGGCACATATCCTTCCTTGGAAACTCAAAGGGATTGTTGCAGGTCCGAATAGTGTCGCACTCACATTTCCCGTTGATTATATTACAGCCAGAGACAAGGTTTTCATTGCATGGTTCAAAACCAAGCAGCTGGTCATCATCCCAGTTCTCATCTGTAAAATAATTAACCACAACATAACGTTTGCTTGGAGCGTCATTCAAAAGCTTGTCTGAAAGCTGAAATAGATGAGGATGTCAAGATTAACATCTGATTTTGACACCTCAATTTACCAAAGCCAGTTGGGCTGCAATTTTACAAATGAGTATAAGTCAGACTTCTAGTAACTGAGGAGGCTGAACTACATGCAGCCACACACGTAGACATTAAATAGCTATATATTCAAGGTTGAGATCAAAAACCAAAACTTCTCTTAAGTGTTCTCACAACTGAGATTCTTCCAATTTTTAAATCTTATACAAGATTCCCAGATTTTCTCACGCTCAAAGTGACATTTGTTAATTTACAAAACTATTTTTTAAAAGACAAGATTTTCTTTACTCCATCTGGTCAAGACCAGTTTCAGGTTTAAAACAGCTCTGCACTTAATACATCAAGACTGCTAACAAACATCAAAAATCAGATGCCGAGAGATTCAAGAGGGGGCTCCAGGGGTGCAGAGCCCGCAGACGTGTTTCAGTGCAGAAGCAGAAGTCCACGCCTGCCCACAAGCAGTGTCAAACCACAACAAAATTAAGGGCGGCAGCCTAGCGGGCTGAGGTCGCCAAATTCTGAAGCTAAGAACAAACCAGTGCCCTGCTCACAGAATGGATCAGAATGGTAGAAATAAAGCAGATTTTAAAACCAGCACGTCATGAGATACAGCTCAGACAAATGAAACAGACATGACATAATGGCGGGCAGGTTCGATTCTTAATCATACTCCCCGTAACTGAAACCTGACAGGAAACAAGGCTATTTCTCTAAATCCCTGGACCATACATGGATTTTCCTTCCTCTTCACATTATCTTTAGTAGATAATTTAGAGTACCTTGACTGGCCAATGACTGTTAAAATAGTAAACATGTTTCTGATAACCTATCTGGAGAGAAAGTTTAAAAGTGCTTGAATTTAAGGTGCCTCAAACCCATGGTTCTAACTCAGGTATGAAGCCATGTTAAGAATGTGTTTGCATAAATGACAGAGTCAACCAATGGCCATGGTTTTTAAGGCCAGCTTTACTTTCGCTGACATCACTCACATGCTATCTCCTTCACTGAAATAAGTCTCTTCTCAAGGAGTCTCAGAAGACATCATTTACAGTATACAGAACTTCAGGTGATTTTTGAAAAAGTTAACTAGAAAAGCTACTATGTTAAGATTGCAGAAGATTAGGCTCACATATATGATCATTCCGTTCTTTGTAAAAAGATTTTAGAAATATAAATAAACAAAACCCAAGTTTTACATTATGAAGCTTGTTTTCCTATCTTGTATTTACCCTCAGAAGCAACATATATAGAACATGCACACACACAGTACATTCCTATTTTCAAGACAACAGGAATTTCTACATTACTAGGAAAGGAAGGCTGAAAAGGAATATACACAAAGAGTTCAAACAGAACAGTAGGTGATGTTTAGATTATAGAGCATTAATAAGGCACACATTTTAAAGGAATGCTTGGACATGTTCTGGCACCTTGCTCGCCAGGCATCATCTATCATTAGTGTCTCTCCCAGACCAGGGCTAAGACTTCCACCTCTCATCACTTGGCTGGCATTAACCGCCTGTCCGAGGAGTTGTTCTCAGAGCCAATTCATTTTCACTGCCAGATGCTTCTCTCTGCCTCCCCAAAGGAAGACCATTTCTCCTGAATGTGGAATCAGAATTAAAAGGCAGCTGCCCTTGACGCGCCCCTGCCATGCTGCTGCTCCGCTGCCATCCCAGCAGCCGCGCTGGGTAGCAGGGCCGGGACAGGCAGTGCTTCAAGACGCACAGGAGGCCTGCAGCTCCCCTCCTGGCCTCGGGGGTGCCATGGCCACCCTGTCCTGAAGCGCATTCAGCTCTGAAGCCGGAAGTGTCTGACATGTTTTCTTTTCTTTGTTTTTTTTTTTTTGAGAACACTTGATTTTATGCGCTATCCTAATCATTTCGTTTGGCAAACAGTTTCCCTCACAATTACTACAAGTACAACATGCTTCTACGGCAAATAACTGTTCTTCTCCTACAGAACTCGACACTTTAAAACAATCTAATAGACCCAAAGCAAAAATTTTCTGAGATTTAATTACAGAAATCAAATCTGAGTACAACAGTGTCAGCATTTGACAAATTCAGTGTTTGAAAACCTCTCTTCCTATACAAATGCACAGATACAGCGAAAAGATGAAGGCTCTGATTCTATGAAGTAAATTCTGGGTTTTCTTTGGACTGATCAAGGAGAAAGAACATTAAGAGTTAAAAACAGGAGACCTGGGCTTCACCCACCCACACTAGGTAGCTCCTCCTGGAACTCACATCTGACAAGACACACTCTCCAGGCCAGAAAGGCTAAAACAAACTGGTGAGGACACCCCTGGCCATCTGCCCAAGTTTGCGAGACACCAAATCAAGGGGTTATTTTCTGCAACCATAAAATGAGGGGAATCTAATAATACCATGTGTGAATTAAAATTCTTGCCTGGCCAAATGCAAATACTGCAGTGAGGGTCTGTTACAGGGAACATCTAACTGGCATCCCTCTTGGCGACGGAGAAGCCGCCCAGAGCAGAGTGCTTCCTGCTGAGCCAAACTCCCTACTCCAGCACACAGCAGACTCCCTGGGAGCACCCCTTGCTACCCCACAGGCATGTTAACAAGATTGTAACCAAGGGTTGAGATTTCCTAAAATTAATAACTTGCCTCAGCCAAGGGCATTCTGGAGGGTAACTGATGTTTTATTTTACTCATTATTTTGTAATTGGTATTTACTGCAAAAACACAGTGGGGAAAATGCAAAGACTAACAAGCACAGTTTGCAGCGACAGAGGACGCCTACCAAGATGCCCATGGCTTCACAAACATGGATCCCGCAGCTTGAGAGCACACACTCACCCCAGGGTGCTACCTGGAAAGGCCTGACCCCAATGCACACAGTGCTTTGTCCGTGAACTTAATGTATTAAATACACATGTTTGCTTCTCGGTGGTACACACCTGAAACTTCTATAATGTTATAATGCAATGCTACTTCAATAGAAAAAGATACACTTACAAAAAAAAAAAAAAAAAAAAAAAAAGAGTATGTTTTGTTGCTCTACCTGGGCCAAGACAGGCGGATCCAGGGCTGAGCGATCACTAAGGGCACTGGCACTTCTCCCCCAACACTTACTGTGGGCCATAAAAATGAGTTTCTTTAAAGTGATTTCGCTAACACATAATTTAAGAAAAGGAAAATGAAGTCAGCAAAGTGCAGAAGATGTGTTGGTTCTTATGTAATTTCCCTAACACGTTAATGTTATGAAAAGATCAGGAGCAGTGTTCTCACAGCTAAAGGGAACATCACAGCTGTAAGTGAACACTTCACAAAAGGGCCAGTAATCCTGTTGAGATTCCATCCTTGGAGGAGTGCAAGAAACGACAGCCATGGTAACTTACACACCCTGAATTATCCAGGGAGGGTGCAAGTAAAGAAGGAAGGCAAGAGACATTTTCCCCCTGGCTCTTAAAATCATGATGAGCAAGTTAACCCTGAATCTTCTGTGCTGGGTTTGATCACACTGGTCTGCAGTAGAAGGCCCCGCTGTCAGGGCCCCGGATGCACTGAAGGAAGCAGAGTGAACGGGGCAGGGGCGTGTGAGGCTGCACAGCACAGGCTGACCGGCCCGCGCAGATGCGACCTGGTGCGGCTGGGGGCGGCTTCAAATCAGGACTTTTTTGGGATTCTTAGTGTTGGTTCTCTGTGTGCACAGTGCTACAGCTCTTACACGACCTGCTCTTAACCCTACTATGCCCAGCAGCTATCTCATTTCTAGTGTAGTATTTTTTCTTTATAGAGCATATGCGTGGTGCCAAAGCACAAACACCTATACTTTCAATAGCCATATTGTCTCCTACCAGACTTGGTCTTTCTGCTCCAAAGTATCTCCCAGTGTTCTTAGGGATGCAAGAAATGTCTTCCTTCCATATTTATTACAAAAGCTTTTGGAAGTAAAGGCTTGTTAGGAAGGAGTTGCAATCCAAAGGCAGGAAAGGCAGCACTGAGGAAATGGACGAGAAGATAGAGGCAGCTGGGACGGTGGTTGGAGACAGGTCAACTCCGGTCTGGGAAATGACAATTCAGTAGAGGCACTGCCAGGACCCAGCCATGGCTACCCTGGCCCACCTGGTTGTAGACTCACCCTCTCTGCCCTTCAAAACAGCTTTCCGTCTGCTTGCTGGTGTCCGAAATCCCACCTACATGGACTCAAACCTTTCGGGAGTATGACTGCTCGTACTTAGCGAAGTACTGTGTGCCTATGTGAAGTCTCCGGCTCCAGAAGGCAGGTGGCATGTGTACTCACAGAGTCTTACCTTTTCTACCTTGTATCTGCTCAGGTTAATGGAGTTTACTCCAAACCACGATATAGCTGCACCCCATTATGTGGCAATCCACTTGCCAGAAATATGCTATAGCAGATATTAAAAAGCAAGAAACAAATTCACAGTACACACTCAGAAGCTCACAGTAATGGAATTCTGTTGGCAGAGGAGAGGCTTCTGGGAATATATATCAAATTAATTCTCCAGCTGTTCACGTATCCCTGTGGCTACAGTAAGATGCAAATAGCTAATACTGGCATCTCTTTCCATGCCAGTCTGGAAACTCCAGTGTAATGTAAAATTGCTGCTCTTAACTCCCCCAGCTCCTGGCTGGCGGTTATCAGGCTTTCAGTTCTGCTCAAGAAGGAATCGAAGCAGTGAGCTTTCATTCTCTCTGCTCTGAGCTTAAGGCGCATATTGCAAAAGCCAGTTCTTCCCTCTTCCTCCTGCTATAATCAGTGCAAAGCAGGAAGAGCAAAAACGATAATTATCAGCAGAAATAACTCATGTTACAAAAGTTTGTTTTACAGGCCTTCCCATGAAGTCAAACTATGCTCGGCGCATGTAGCTATGCATAAGAATGGACAGAGCAAAAACGATAATTATCAGCA